GACGTTTTCTTCATGCAAGCCCAGACAATGCGCAGGATGCCGCCGCAGCATCCGACGATTCCAGCCGATACTCGGACTCCTCGCCCGACTCCTCGGGAGAGGAGGTGAGCCTTACTGAAGCCCCTCCCGCACACAAGCCCGGAGCCGCCTCAGACATCAACCAGGTCATTTTAGCTAATGGGGGGCCGTCCACATGGCCCACGCAGTGTCCGCAACCCAATGGCGCACAGCCTGCGGGATCCTGATCGGTTCAGCCGGAATGGGCACGCTGCATGTGCCGCCACAAAGCCTGCCGCCTCGCATGGGAATGCCTTCCGACCACTGAAAATAAGCTAGACCGCTATCGCTGTCGGTTGTGCTTGCATGCCGCTTGAACCCCCCGTCCCGACCCCGCCTGACCTGCACCCCCCTGCCTGCCAGGTACCCGCCGCAGCCGTCTCCAGCCTCGACGTGATCTCGCTCCTTTCCTCACTCCTCTCGCCGAGCCATGGATTGCCCAACAGCCTTTCACGAACTCCTCAAGGAGTGCCGTGTGCACGACCTTCTGTGCACAGCCCTGTCAGATCAGGGATACCAAAGCATCTCCGATTTCGCCTGGGCCTTCCCCAGTGTCGACCGCCTCTCCGCCTTCATAACCTCGCTGCCCGAAGCCACTGCCCAAAGCCTTACGACGGGGGACCTTGGACCAATGCCACAAGAAGACCCAGACGCCTGAAGCCACCTCAGCCCCACGCCTCACGCAAGAAGCGGTGCAAGATACGATAGACAAGTTCAAGGCCAATTATCCTGGGGAGCTCCTCGACCAGGACTCCATGCCCAGTATTCGCCTCCTCAGCCTAGTGCACCACAGCCTGAAGCCCGGGGAAAAGCTCCGCTGGAGCCCCTGGCAGTTTCGCCTTTCTGCGAAACAATACCAAGAGCACACGGAGGCCAAAACTGCCAAGCCCATTCGCACAGAAGCCCAGATCATCGCCTCCGCCTTCTTCGACGAGACGCCCGAGGTGCCCGTGGAGCACATGCGCCTCGCAGCCGCCTGGTTGGAGCGCATCCTGGGCCCTCTGCGGGGCGGCGCACCTTCAGAATCTCAAGGCCCTGGACAAGAAAGTCCGAGAATTGTGCCTACAACAGCCTGACGCCCAGCTCGGCCTACGCACGCCCACCACTGGCGAACTTATCGCCGCCGACCGCAAAATCTGGGCAGCCATCTCTGACCTAGTGGCCCAGTCTTGGTCCCTGGACGACGCCCTGCACGAGCTCACGGCCATCCGCAACCATGCTTCCAGCCTACTCCCGGCCCAAAGCCGTCGCTGACAAAGGCTCGCCCAAAGGCCTCGGCCGCAGCGACAATAGTGCCGCCAAACGCAAAGCCCCTCAAGTGCCGCCCGCCCCGCCCAGGCCTGACCGCTCAGCCGAGCGCCCACCAAAGAAAGGCCGCGGCAAAGGCCAAGGCAAGATCACGAATCTTCCGGCCAACTGGGTCGGCGCACAAAGGTCAGCCCATTTGCCGCCGCTACCAAACCGGCCAGCGCAAGCTGCCGGAATGCAAGTTCGCCCACATCTGTGCAGTGCGCCCAAAAACACCCTGCCGCTGAACACGGCAAAGCCCGCACCTGAAACAGTCCGGAAGCCTGTCCGCCCAGGGACAGTTCCGGACGAGCGTGTTTGCCTGGGCAACGACCGCCGCGATAGCCATCCGGGCCTGCCAAGTGCACCTCAGGGAAAACCCGCCACGGCCTTCTCTGCACCTGACACCATGCCGCAGCCGGGCCAGCAGAAGCCCCTCACGGCCTTCTCTTGTAACCCAGGCCCGGACGGAGCGCGACCGGCGCCTCTGCAGCAAAGCACTGGCCCCCAAGCCGAATCCTGGCCCCTGCCCGCCACAGCCTAGCCTAGCCTCCCAGAGGCCTCTCACGGTTTTCGGAACCGACCGGCCGAGCACGCAGTTGTCTGACAGGCCTCTGACGGCCTTCTCCTCAGCCAGCGCCCTGGACCACAGACCGCCTCCGGGATCATCTTCCAGGGCTGCACAGCGAGACACGCCCAACCAGCCGCCCTTCCGCAACATTGTCTGGAGACGAGAGGAAGCCTCACCGGCCCCCGAGCCGGGCCCTGCACGCGTGCTCCTGGACCTTTTCGCGGGCAGGCGCTCTCCAGTTGCCGTCGCAGCCTCAAAACAGGGCATACCGCACTGGGAGCCCATAGATGTCGCCATCAACGAGGCCCACGATATACTCTCGGATTCTTTCTTCACACGCCTACTTCGCCTGACCTGGTCTGGGCGCATAGCCCTCCTATAGCGCCCTGCCGCGAGTACTCTATTCTCAAACTCGCACCTGGAGGGCCTCCGCCATGCCGCACGCCCGAACACATCAACGGTCTGCCCTCTGATAGCCCCACGCTCGCCCGCCGCGCCGCGGAGAGCCGCCACATACACGAAAGATGCCACCAGCTCTGCCGAGCGGTGGCAGCCTCGGGGGGCACTTGGATCCTGGAAAACCCCCCTTCAAGCATGGCCTGGATGGAGCCCTCTTGCCAACAGCTGCTGCGTGCCTCAGCGCCACGTCGCCTCCGTCGCTGCCTGCGCTTATGGAGTGACTTGGTCCAAATCCTGGGCATTCGCGTCCAACAGCCCCCACATCAGAGGGGTGCAGAATACCCGGCCGAGCTAGCCTGCAACATTCTTACAGTCTTCCGACACCTGTGGCCGACCTCGCCTCCCTTGCCTGTCATCCCCTTGCCCACAGAGCCGACAACGCCCGAGCACATGGCGGGCCCTGGACCGCGTGCGCCCGCATGCGACGGCGCCGGCCTCCAAAGCACAGCCGACTGCTCAAAGCCTGCCCAACCTCATGCCAGCCTTTCATCACTCATCGACCAAATGCAAACTTGGTGCCTGCAGGCCGACCGCTACAAGCGCAATGCTGCACACATTGCCCAAAGCAAGCCGGAGCACCCCCTGTCGGAAGAAGAGCAACAGTCGCTGCTGGAAATGGCAGCAGCCAGCCTAAATCTTCCACAACAATCCGCCGCCGCGGTGGAAGACGGCCAACCTTTCCGCCTCAAGCTCCTCTCACGCCTAGCCTGCCTCATGCAAGATATAGATAAGGGCCTGCCAGACATCCTAGCCCAAGGGGTGCCCACTGGCGTCTTCGAGCCCATTGCCAGCAGCCACCAGTGGCCCGCGGTCGAAGCCCAACACGCCCAGCACCCACTGGACACTTGCCTCAAGGAGTTCGACAGCAATTGGAAGAACGCCGAGGCCCAGCCCGAACTCCTGCAACGCCTCATCGAGGAAGAAATGGCCCAGGGTTGGGTCATCGAAATCCCCGGGGGCGAACAAGAAGCCCGCGCCCAGTGGCCCAAAGGCATCGCCATAGGCAAGCTTAACGTGGTCCAGGCCGAAGGCAAAGATCCACGTCAGTGTGCAATGTGAATCCGCGCTGCACCTTGCCCGAACGGGTTTGCCTGCCTACATCTGCCGATTTCGCGCCACCTTCAAGCCTCTGGACCCCCCAAATGCCTCGCAGGGCGCCGCGCTCGATTTCAAAGCCGCCCACAAGCGCGTCAAGGTACGCCAATCAGACCAAGGCCTACTGCTTTTCAGAAACTCCGGCCGCCTATACGCCTACGTGGTTTGCCATTTTGGAGCACGCGTTTCGGCCTACTGGTGGCAGCGCGTAGGAGCGTTGCTCCTCAGACTGCTGCACCGCCTCATGGCCTCCGAGCCGCATAAGGCGTGGCTCTACGTGGACGACCTTCTGCTCTCGCTACTTCACAGCCGCGCCCCCCAGCAACTGGCCCTCGTCGTGGCCTACCTTTCGCTCGTCGGAGCGCCCATCAGCTGGAAGAAGGCCGCCTTTGGGCCCAGCATCACTTGGTGCGGTTGGCAGTTCTGCTTCCGAACCGAAACCGTTTGCTTCGCCCAGCCCAAGTTAGACAAACTCCGCGCACAGCTGTTGCATTTGCTGCAACACAAACGAGTCCCTCGCAAGGTGCTCGAGGCCTGCCTAGGCCTACTGATGTGGGCAACGAGCATTAGCTCGCACCTCCGCTGCTTCACAGCCCCGATATACTCGGACCTGCGCAGCCCGCCTGGCACATGCTACCCGGTGCCCCCCAGAAGCTGGTCACAGTTCCTGTGGTGCCTGGACGCCTCCTGCAAGATCGTCCGAGATGCCTCATACCTCCAACTCCCGCTGCAAGCCCGAGTCATTGAGGTTCGGGGGAAGCCTGTCCGGGCCAAAACAGACATATGGCCCATACCAGCCGCCGACAAGACGATTTGGGTCCGCATCGCAGACCCCTCGGCCTCGGAAATCACATTGCGCAATGAAAGCAAAGCCGCCATACATTGGCTCGCCCAATGCTTCGCCTACGAGTTCACCATGCCCTTGGCCCGACAGCCCCTGCTGCCTTGCCTATCCGCCGCAGACGCCATGGCCGATGGAACCACAGTCGGAATCGGTGGCTGGCTCGCCACATCTTCCACCACCTGGTGGTTTGCCCAGCAATGGGACATCCAAGAGCTTCGCACTGCATGGCCTTTCCTCACTAAAGACGCCCAAAGATACATCGCCTGCTTTGAAACTGTGGCACAGTGGGTTCTGCTACAGATGGCCTACGAAGCCACCGGTTGCTCCAGCCTCAGGTTCTGCGTCGCCTCACGCAGCGACAACAGCCCTACTGCAAAAGGTGAAAGTACAGTAGCACACCCCTGTTTTACCCCAAAGTGATTTTACTTGGGCACATCATGTTTTCCATTGAGTGTGCAATGACACAGGCGCTTTTGCTTGAAGTGGAAAAGTTTCGTATGGTAGCGGAGCTGTGAAGGTTCACCCTTTGGGTACCGGAACTCCAAGAGGCCAGGAACCTAGCCTCAGCACTAGGGTAGGTAGAGCCCCGGGTGTAGTCTTGGGCCTCTGAGGGTTGGATCCTCTTCATAGCTTCCTCTGTGCTTCGGCTGCTGGTGGCGGCCTAGAGTGGTGCAGACGGGCGGCAAGGCGGCCAGTACCTCTTCGTGTTTTACCACCGCGCTGTGGGCTGCTGTGGCACAACGGCGACGTGGGGCGCTTTAGAAGAAGCAAAGCAGAAACTGCGTGAGTTTTACTTTGAGCAGCTCTTGTTGCGACCGAAGCCAGAGAATCGGACCCAGAAAGGCTGGCAGAACATCCTGGAGTCAGCTCGCTTGAGTTTGGAGCCCAAGCTGGATAGACTGAGCAGGATCGAGGACGTTTTCGCTTTGGCTGAAAAGTGTTTGAACAAGAACCAGAGCATCTTGGAAGATTTTCGGTTCATTGCAACAGACAACGTGTTTTGTGAAGCTGTAGAGTGGAGTGCTCAAGAGAACTTTGTGCACGCGACTGAAGAGGGCAAGACGTTTGAGCGTGACCTGGAGATCTTGTCTAGGTTGGACGAGGGCAAGAATAGCAGATCCGGTGTGTTCGAACAGTCGCTGGAACCTCAAAGTGAACCACTCGACCTGATCGAGACGAGTGAGCCCACACCCAAGAGGTTGAAGTTCGAGGTGGCATTGAGGGTTCCGTTGAGCTTTGATTGCAGTCATGGCGTCTCCTCAAGGTCAATCCCAACCTTCCTCAGCCCCGAATCCGTTTGCACAGTCCCAGCCAACATCACCTCAGTCTGCAACTGCGAGTGTGCCTCAGATTTTGGAAGCCTTAGGCAACATGGTGATGCAGGGCCAAGAGCAGAATCGTTCTTTCATGGGTTTGTTTCAGTCCATGTCCATTGAGCAGCAAAGACAGTCAGAAGAGTTGAAAGAAGCGGTCACTCACCTTGGTTCCAGGAAGGAAGCTCCGACGGGGTGGACGAAGTTCATTCCCCGACCTGACCCTTTCAAGCCCAAAGACCGAGAAGAAGAGCTAACTCAATGGCAAGATTGGAGTTGGAGCTTCAAGCAGTGGATCCTTGCAATAAGCCCTGAGATGTATACTGCGATTGAAGAGGTAGAGCAGGATTTGAGTTCGCCTTGTGAAGAAGCTACTATGACCGACGATGCCATCCTACAGGGAAAGCAGCTGTACGCAATCCTCACAAGCATGCTTCGGGAAAGGCCTCTCCAAATCCTCAAGAGTGTCACCGGTGCCAATGGATTCGAGACGTGGCGTGTGCTAAACAATGTGCTGGCACCCACCAATAAGACACGAGCGCTTGCACTGTTGGGAGCAATCTCACAGTTTCCGGCAATGAATCAAGGGAATCTCCTGGAGCAGGTGCTACGTCTGGAGGATCTCTTCCGCAAGTACGAGCAGGCGTCGGGAAAGCCAGTTCCGAATGAGATGCAGAGTGCAATCTTGTTACGTGTTTTGCCTCAGCAAGTTCGGTCACACTTGACAATCACCATCGGTGACGATTCAACGTATGAGAGCATGAGAGACATGATCCTTCGGTGGGAGCGCTCTACACAGAAGTGGTCTTCGCAAATCGTGACAGGAGGGGCACCGCAGAAACCTTCGTATGATGATCCGAACGGCCCGAGCCCCATGGATGTCGATCGTGTGAAAGGATGGCCTAAAGGAAAAGGCAGGTGGGGTAAAGGGGCTGGCAAAGGTAGTGGCAAAGATGGAGGAAAGTATGGAGGAAAGAACGGCAAAGGCAAAGGTGGCAAAGGAGGATATGAGAGTCGTCCAGGCAAAGGAAAAGGCTATGAGAAAGGAGGAAAAGGAAAACAGTCCTCATGGAGCAGGAATGATTGGAGCAAAGGAGGAAAGGACAGAGGAAAGAAAGGAGGAAAGGGCAAAGAAAGGCTTTCTCATGATGCTTGTCGAATCTGCGGGAAGTCAGGGCACTGGGGCAATGAGTGTTGGATGAAGGACAAAGTTCGAAACATCAACCAGAATGATACATCGTCCGCATCGGGGAACAGTTCGTCCGCATCGAGCTCAAATTCATCGACCGGAACAGCAAGTGTGAAGCGTGTGTTTGATCTTGCAGACAGTGATCGACTTGATGTCCCAATGACAACGGGTTGTCTATGAGATGGACAGCGAGGGTTCAGAGTCGTATGTGTCAGACAATGAGTCATGGTGGTGCAAGGTGATCGAACATTCCATGGTTGACGGTGAGGATGAACTGGAAGTCATCGACTTTGCTTGGGAGACGTACAGCGTCATGGACATGAGCTTAGATGATGCATTGCTTGGAGATGAAGAATGGGTTGCACATGCAGAAGTAAGAGGGATCAGCAGCAGGTCTGACGAGGGCTACAACGCTCTGTCTGAAGGGCTACCTCAGGAGGTGGTCTTGGATTCAGGTGCTGACCTCAGTGTGATGCCGCGAGCATGGTTGGAAGCGAATCTTGGAGACAGGGGTTCGAGTGCACCAGTCCGAATGGTCGACGCCCAAGGGAAAGAGATGAAGAACCATGGTAGCAGGAAGATCACTCTGGACCTAGGCCCAGCGATGATCCAAGAGGAGTTCTACGCGTCCGACGTTGGTGCGCCCCTGATCTCATTGGGGAGATTGCTGAAGAAAGGTTGGAGCCTCGACCACAGGAATGGACTCCTGCATCTGTGCAATGATCCCGAAGAGATAGAAGTGCCGGTCTCATTCCGAAGGAATAGCCTTGTGGTTGATGCCAGAGTGTTCATGGTCCGGGATGATGAGGTGAAAGACCCAGAAGAAGAATGTGTTCGAGCAACCAAAGAAGGTCGGATTATAGTGCAGCCGCATTTCAACATCCACGGACTTTCTCCAGGGTGGAATTTCCTCGACTGTGGTGATCCTTGCATCTTGAAGAGAGATAAGGTTCGCCTCGACCCTTCAGATGACATGTCAGTGCATTTATGGAAGTACCGCACAACTTTGGTGTTCAGACAGGAAGCATGGGAGCTTGTGGACTTCCAGGAGCCCCTGGAAAACGTGGAGAACCTGAGTGAGGTGATTGAACATGGCGATGCAGCAGTCCTGATATTCACCATCATGCATCGTACGAAAGGTGACCCCGATCACTACGGCCTAACGCTCGTTGCTGAAGCTGGAACTTCCGAGGCAGATGAAGTGAAAGATTGGCCAGTGGATCTTGATCTGTATGCCGAAGAGATGAGCGTAGCTGATCCGCATGAACAAATGAGCCCAATCGATCTCCCAGGTGTATGTGATCAAGATGGCCATGAAGAACCGGTGGGCGCAAGTCCCGCCCCAATGTTGATCGGATGTGGAGAAGAAGATCATGTGGTAGTAGAGGGACTGCGGTTGAACGAGGATTCGAGTGCTCGAGAACTACGAGAAGCGTGCAAAGCCTTAGGACTGGGGATGTCTGGTTCCAAGAAAGTTATGTTCCAGAGGTTGATGAGTCACTCAAAGAAGAGAGCATTGGAGGATGCGATGGCGCTGGAAAATGCGGCGAAACCTCATGAACATCAACCGCGTGGAGAGAGACTTCCTAAGCAACCAACTGCTGATGAAATTGCCGAACATGAGCTCACTCATGTACCGTTCAAGGAATGGTGCAGCTATTGCGTGAGTTGCAGATCAAGGAGAGATGCTCACCGTCAGGATGGAGAACAACATGACACCGATGGCGGGGACCCAATCATTGCATTCGACTTCTTTTACACCGATGTCACGGGAGGTGAACTTGACTTCATGCGAAGTGCTCCTAAGGACAAAGATGCAATGGTTGTGGTGGTAGCTGTGGACAAGACGACAGGAATGTCAAGAGCCATACCCCTAGAGTCGAAAGGTGATCAATCATTGGTGTATGCGGCGAAAGAGATCTTAAGCTTCATATCCTATCTGGGATATCAAGGCGTGGTGATCAGATCGGACAACGAGCCTTCTGCTACAGCCTTGACCAAGATGATCTGTCACTCCAGGACGAAGTTGGGTTTGAAGACCGTGGCGAGACCGTCACAGCCTCATGAGCATGCAACAAATGGAATGGCAGAACAATGTGTTCAGAACATCCGAGATCTAGCAGCAACTTTGTTGGAACAGGTAAAGGCTCAATCGGGAACAGAGATTCGGACGAGAGATGAGATTGCAGGCTGGGCGTATGTGCATGCTTCAATGCTTCAGAACACGTTTGCAGTCAGAGCTGGAACGACTTCGTTCGAGAAGGCATTTGGCTTGGCCTACAATGGGAAGCTGGCATGTTTCGGCGAGGTGGTGCTGTTTGCGTTGAGTCAAGGCCATCGAAAGAAAGGACGCCCGAAGTTCGTAAAAGGCCTGTGGCTTGGAAAATCGCTGGTGAACGACATGCATGTGTGTGGAACAGCGCTTGGTTTGTACCTGTCAACAACAGTCCGGAGGTTGAACCCACAGGAAAGGTGGAGCAAGCATATGTTGAAAGAATTTCAAGGCAAACCATACAAGTTTTCGTTGAGCAGCCTGGGAAAGGTCGTGATTCCAGCTCTGAAAGACAGGACAAAGCCGAATGTGGTACCAGACATGCCAGTGATGCCGATGGAAGGACCAATGGAGGCAGCGTTGAAAGCACCAGATGAGGCCGGATCTGACTCCTCAAGTTCATCGTCACAGTCAGGTGCAAGAGAATCAAGCCATGAGGAGCCAGGAGGGGTTTCGGCACAATCGTCGCAGCGTGCTAGCTCAACCCCGTCGGAAGGCGGAACTGATGATGGCGTGCGAGAAAAGATGGACATCGAGGCAGGAACAGGACAGAAGAGATCTGAGCCCGAACCAAGTGCCAAGGAAGAAGACAAGCGTGGAGAAAAGAGACCGATGCCGGAGGAGAAGAACGTCCCGCTGAACGCACCTCCACTTTATGCTGGGAGCTCATCGCCACCAAAGACCTCAAGAGTTTCAGCCGTGAAAGTTGCAGATGCTGAGTACTACACGTTAGATGAGCACCTAGAAGAGGAGTGGGGTGACATGGAAGAGTGGGAAATTTGGTCTGAGGTAGAAGAAGAAGAGGGCATTGATTGGGGAGAGCTTTGGCGTAACAGGACTGAGAATGAAGGGCCTCCAGAACTGTCTGAACACGAGATGGACCAAGTAGATGCTGAGAGCAGGAGGACCGAAGTGAAGCGACTCCTGGACATGGGAGTGTTGGAACAAGTATCGTCCTTGCCTGAGAACGCAGAGTTGTTGCAGACGAAGCATGTGATGGACTGGCGGTACCGTGAGGCGAAGTGGAAGAGAAGGGCGAGATTAGTGTGTAAGCAGCTGAAGATCTGGGACCCAAACAGGACAGACGTGTATGCCCCAAGCACCAATCCATCAATTGCAAAGCTGTTGCCGGCCCTCATGGTTTCCCGACCAGGGTGGCAGATGGTTAGCTTCGATGTGAAGGATGCTTTCCTCGAGGTGAAGCAGCGTCAAGAGCTTCATGTGATGTTGGACGGCCTCCCGTATAGAGTCCATCGTTGTTTACCAGGACAGCAGGCAGCGTCTGCGTGGTGGGGAGAACAGCTGGCGGCGGACCTGGCTACAGCTGGCTTGGTGCCAGATGAAGCATGTCCGGCAGCGTTTGGACAGCCAGGTTTGGGTGCAACAGTTCATGTCGATGATGGCTTGCTAGCTGGAACCCCAGAGAACACACGAAAGGTAACTGAGATCCTGGAGAAGAAGTACAAGCTGGAAGTCTCAGAACCCGTGAAGAACATAGGTGATAGCCTGAAGTTCCTGAAGAAAGAGTTGCTAATCACCGAGTCTGGCATTGAGGTGCGAGTCGACAAGAAGTACTTGGAGAAGATTTGTGGTGTGTTGGACCTGAAAAGGCCGAGAGTGAGGAAAACGCCGTGCAGTCCAGAAATTGCCAAAATGGATGAGTCAGAGCCCTTGCAGGAGCTGGAGGCTTCGAAGTTCAGAGCGGCAGTCGGAAGCTTCCTGTACCTCAGCCCAGATAGACCAGATGCCCAATGGACCATCGCACACTTGGCAAGGTCGATGAGTCGGCCAACGAAGCGTATGTGGAAGCATGCCTGTCACTTAGCAGAGTATCTGTTAGCCACAGCTGATGTGTGTCTCACGTTGGCATGGACGTATCCGGGAAGGTCAAGTTTGGATGAGAGAAAGCTCAGTCGAGAGGAGGCAACAAGGCTGCAAGTAGAGAACAGCGGCAAACCGGATTTGGTTGAGGGCATGAGCGATAGTGACTGGGCTGGACATTGGACGAGGGTGTCATCGACGTGTGGCCATGTCTATTTGAATGGGAACGCGACCTTCAGCTTCGTGAGGAAGCAAGGCTCGATTTCTCTGTCGTCATGCGAAGCAGAGCTCATGGCATGTTGTTCCACGGCAGCAGAACTGATGTATGTTGGGCACGTGATCAAGACGCTTTCAAGCACACCTTGTCGGTTGTTATGCCGGCTAGACTCGTCTAGTGCACGATCATTGCTCCAAAAGCGTGGCGTGTCGAAAGTGCGTCATCTGGAAACGAAACTGCTATGGGTACAGAGGGAAACTTCGAGGGGAGCCTTGGAACTGGGAACAGTATCCACGTACCTAAATACTGCTGACATAGGTACAAAGGCGCTAAGCTCAGAACGCTATGGATTCCTGATGTCTCGCCTGGGCTATGGTGGCTTCGAGTGTTTGAGCAAAAACAAGCAGAAGTACGACCAGATGAATGCCAAGGTGATTCGTTTGCTGGTGATGATGGATGCAATGAGAACCGCGAATGGAGCAGAAGCCTCTGGAAGAGATCGTGAGCTGGAGCAGGGTGGCATCACGATTATGAGCGCCTTGAGCCTGGAGATCAAGGTCAACCAATGGGGTGGTGTTCTCCTGGTGGCTGCGGCTTTGGTGGTCCTGATGACCGTGATGTACGTCGTATGGCAAATGGCATGGAAGGAAAGGCGACTTGGAGACCTACAGAGGATGGCGACGACGACTGATCAAACAGAAGAAGATGAAGAATGGGAACATGAGCCAGATGAAGAATGGGAACCACCACTATGTGTACCAGATGAACCTCAACGACAAGATGAACCTCGACTACCAGATGAACCTCGACTACCAGATGAACCTCGACGACCAGATGAACCTCAACGACAAGATGAACCTCGACTACCAGATGAACCTCAACGACCAGATGAACCTCGACGACCAGATGGACCTCTTCGACCAGATGAACCTCGACGACAAGATGGACCTCAAGTGCGAGTGCAGGCTCAACCTGTGCCTGTAGTGGGACATGGTTGGATGCAGAGACAAGTGGCATTGATTGGCAACACAGGGCTACGATTCCATAGTCAGACGTGTGGAATGGTTCGAAAGGCACACCGTGACGGGCGACATGTTCGGTTGCTCACTCGAGAGCAGGCAGTTCTTGAAGGGAACGAAGGATGCAGACAATGCACGCCGTGACGCAGATCCAGATGGAGCGAGATGGCCTGAGTTTCAACTGCGACTCCGGCTGATGTGCAAAGCTAGATGCGAGACTTGTGCGACTTCGAGTCGTGTTTAAGGGTGGATGCGATTCCAAATCTAACTGTTTCCATCCTAAAATGGGATGATGCACGGGGATTTGATATCCGTTGGCATGTGTTTGACGTTTCTCTCGAGTTCTACCGAGATTAGTGGTGGCAGTTTTCCTGTATAGATTTTGGACAGATTCTGTAGTACACTCGTCGGTACGACGAATGTCCTAAGGAGGGGTGCAAAAGGTGAAAGTACAGTAGCACACCCCTGTTTTACCCCAAAGTGATTTTACTTGGGCACATCATGTTTTCCATTGAGTGTGCAATGACACAGGCGCTTTTGCTTGAAGTGGAAAAGTTTCGTACCTACTCAAGCCTCCATCAACAAACTGTTCACAACGGCCTTCCCGCTTAGCTTCTTTCTGGAAAAAGTGGCCTCCTGGGCCCACGCACGCGGCCTAGAATTGGAAATCGGCCATATCCCTGGAGCCAAGAACACCGATGCGGATGATCTCAGCCGCAACCGCCTAGAGAAGTTCTCACGCTCTGGCCACGCTCGAAGATTCGCGGTGCACCTTTCGCACCTGCACAAGTCGGCCCACGAGGTCACCCCAAGGCCTCCTGGACATAGCGTCCCCTGCGCAAGCCTAGCAGACCACACGCGGTGGGGGTTGCCTGGCCTTACTTTCACTGGTCTGCCCCGGGCCGCTGAAGTGGGGGTATGCCGCATATCAGGACCGGTGCCTCTCGCCTGAGGGGCCCCCCGGCCTGATTGCCAAACTCGCCCAGAGCAGCACCCGTGAAAAAGGCCGGCATGTGCAGGGTAGGACGTTGTTGCCCCTAGTCCCCCTCCCGTAGGGTCTTTGGGATCTAGAGGGCTCGTACTACCCGCTCTTTCCCCAACTAGGGTTAGGTCTTGCAGTGGGCGTTGTCTGAACGCACTGGGGTTTTTTGTTCCCAGGTGTTTTGACACGCACGAATCATGACCACCCATGTCTGCCCATGCCCAGCTGACTCCTGGCTCAGCTGGCCCTGACCTAACCCGAGTTGGGGCCGTGCATAGTGTGTGAAACTCTATCCCAAAGTGGAGTAGCCCAACACACAGCCGCACTGCTGCCTCCCAAAGAGGAGTAGCCCGCGCTTAGCCGCCTTGACACCCTCCAAAAGGGAGGGGGGTATGCCGCATATCAGGACCGGTGCCTCTCGCCTGAGGGGCCCCCCGGCCTGATTGCCAAACTCGCCCAGAGCAGCGCCCGTGAAAAAGGCCGGCGTGTGCAGGGTAGGACGTTGTTGCCCCTAGTCCCCCTCCCGTAGGGTCTTTGGGATCTAGAGGGCTCGTACTACCCGCTCTTTCCCCAACTAGGGTTAGGTCTTGCAGTGGGCGTTGTCTGAACAAGTACGTGACTTGCTGCTGCAGCACCGTGAGAATGCGGCCTTCCACCTCAAGGACCGACGTGTGCTCAAACATCATTGCGCCTTCTGTAACCAATGGATTGCTGATGCCAGTAAGATGAAGAACCGTTACAGACAATCCCATGAATCGCTGCACTCATCCTTCCTTGTTGACGCAGCGAAACTGTGCTCAAGATTCAACACCCCTGGCGCACCGTGCGAGCACTGCGGCACTCAGGTGAAAGCTGCTCGGCAACATCCGGCCAAGTGCACAGTGCTATGGCAAATCTGTGTTATGCACCTGTCCAAGTGCTCTGAACCGCCCAGGAATGGAGCAACAGCTAACGGAAGTCTTCGGCCCAGTGCTCAAAGAGCAACTGTCAGCACTGCAGATGGAGGTGACGAACGGCGGCCCCAACAAGGAAGCTCAAGAGGCCCCTGTGCAAGAGTCCAGACAGAACAAGGCACCGCGCAAAGGCGCGGGCAAAGGGGAGCGACGTATCAGGGCAGAAAATCCCATGACGGCCCTCACCTGCTGCCACTGGTGAAAGCGCTCTGCAGACTGTCCCTGCAGCAGGAAACAACCATCAAAGTGCTGCAACAAGACACGGCATGGGTCCTATTCCTTCAGCCAGCGGAAGCCGGAGCACTCAAGATGCTCTTCAAGGCAGCACAGACGTGGAAGGAGGCACACCAGCAATACGCGCTCCGCTTGCGGATAGAGTGGTCTTTGATTTATAGGTGCCCCTTCCCCCCTTTTGAAGAAGGGGCAACGCAAAACTGTCTTTAAAGTTTCTGAGTTTTCTACCACGTGTGTTTGCAGATCTTGCATGGGCATGATTTATGCAGACGTTTTTCATGTGGTTTTTCGGGGCTTCGCAGTAGGCACAGCTGCTTGAATTCTTCTCTTGTGCAAAATGCAAAGTGCTTGTGCCGCGCTCAGCCCTGCTCAAACAGAGGTTCGTGGTCGTTTGCATACATGGCACATGTGCTTCATTATCACATTTGCAGGCCGTTCTTTAGCGAACTCTTGAGCACATTTGTCAATTTTTTCCCTCCATGGGCGACGGCTCGGACACTCTTGTGGAGGTTGCGGTCGAGGACGCCGACTTTTCTTCCTGCTCTGAACCTTTCAGTGTCGAGTCCGTTGTCCTCGAGCTGGAACGTGAGATCGAGGGCGAGCGTGTGGCCCGCGAGGACCTGGCCCGCCGCGTGCAGAATCTCGAGCGAACTGTCGCTGCCCTGCAGTCTCGCTGTGCTGATCTTGAGCAGGACGTGGAAGTGGTTTCTACTCGACTGGCGTCCGTCAACGCCTTCTTGCACGGCTTCATCAATCGCTTGGGACAGCTCTTCCGCGTTGTCATCAACCGCTTGCCCACTGGCTTCTGAACAGGCTGCCCTGATGGCTTCTTCCTCTAGTGCTTCGGGCCTCCCTGGCCATTCGGAAGGGGGAGAGACTGGGCCAGCGTCCCTCAGCGATGCTCTGGCTGATCCGTCTGACTTTCATTCGCGACTGGTGGCGGCCGAGACGCCAGCAGTTTTGGATGCCACCTCCATCAGTGTTTCAGAGTTCTCTTGGCACGCACACCTTCAAGAAGCCCGAGTCTTACCGCCCCTCTTGCCATGGGAGAGGGGCCCCTTGACTTGGGTTTTTGGAGAGCCGGCTAAAAGATCTCGCATCAGCTTACCAAAGGACTTCGCTGCATCCCCCCTGGAAAAGCATGGGACAGAGAAGGCTCCCCTCGTGATCCATCAGCCAATCCCAGATTTTGCCAAAAGGAGGCTCCGTGTTGCATCTCTACTGGTCACCCAGGACACTTCGAGATGGGAGGCCCTTCGCAAACTTCAAGTGCTGGTGCTTCTGGACCCTTCGGCGACTCAAGTTGGGCAGGTGTTGGCGGCTGAGGCGTCTTTGCTAAGGGACAACAGTTTCTTACAGCGAGCCTTTTCCGATGTCTTCGAGGGGAAAAGCACTTCTACACTGGTGAAAAGGGCTTCTTCCTTGTGGCGCTTCGCCAACTTCTGCATCGACGGTGGCTTCGGGAACCCGCTTGAGGTCTCGGAGCATGCTCTGTACCAGTACATGTTCCACCTCGAAGAGCACGGAAAGCCAACCACGGGCTCCTCATTTCTCCAGGCTTGGAACTTTGCGCTTCACACCCTCAAGTTGAACCGTCCCAGGTCGCTGGGGGCGCTGTCAGCAAGGGTTAAGGGTGCAGCCCAACGGATGTACTCGAAGAAGCGCAAACTGGTGCAAGCCCGACCCTTGACTGTGAAGCAGGTCAAAGCCCTGGAATACGTCGTCCTCAAGGCGCCCTACATTCACTGGAAGATCATCGCTGGCCACCTTCTTCTGTGTGTAGGGTCCAGCAGCCGCTTTGGGGACTCAATTTGCCTGGCAGTCCTCAAGGTTGAAACGGCGCAGGGCTTCACCTTGGTCGAGGCTGAAAGCTCAAAATGGAAGACCGGAAATGCTGCCTCCCGGCGTGCTCAGCTGCTTCCCCTCGCTTCTCTTGGGAAGTTTTTCGCAGATGCTCCGTGGGCCGTCGAAAGGATGGCTCTGAGAGAGAAGCTGGGCTTTGGTCTAGATCCTGCACTTCCGGCTTATTCCGAGGCGACTGGCGAGTGGCTGCAGCGGCCTATGTCGACGGGCGAGGCGACTTTATACTTGAGAGAGTTTTTGTCTGCTGCATCTCAACCATATGATGGTGTTGGCTCCCACTCCCTCAAGACGACAGTCCTGTCGTGGGCCGCCAAATCAGCTGAAGTGCCCCTGAGTGACCGCCGCCTGTTAGGGCATCACGTCGATCCAGGCGTGGCGTCCCCTTTGACATATGCGCGGGATGAACAAACCCGCCTCATGAGGGTTGTACATCGCCTCGTGGAGAGAATCTGCAAGGGCCACTTCCGTCCAGACGACACGAAGGTCTGGCGCTTAGCCAAGCTCATCTCCTCCGATTGTGGGGGCGATGCCCTGGCTGAGAACGTGGTGCAGGGCGACCCGGGCGTGCCGGAGTCCGATGAGGAGGACGATGACTTCGATGAGAGGGACATGGCCGCGAACACAGGGGTCATTTCAACTCGTGAGCCCATGAGCGCTGCAGAGCTTGATGCCACAGCTGATTGTCGTATGCACGTATTTTCCCGTGTGGTGCATGTTTTGGACGGCAATCGTTTTCTTTGTGGTAGGAGTTGCTCGCAGAACTATTCGCCGATTGATGTCAGTGTACCCCTTTGTGACTTGCCTGTGTGCGCTCAGTGTGCAGCCCGAAAGGGGGCCTGACCGGATGTGCTTCGTCGGAAAGTGGTTGTCTCCAGTATACTCCACTTGAAGCTGGATGCCTCCATTCCCCCCCCTCCCAGCTGACCTTCGGGC